CATTTCAGCTGTGGGAGCAGCCAGGGCTGGGCTGAGCTGGGGCTCAAGACGTGACAGGCCGAGTGGTATTTGAGTCCTGTGATCTCTGTTGGGAGTCCGGGGAAACTGCAGGGCAGGACACAATGGTGTTCTAAGCACTGAGGGTGGAAAATCATAATCCGTGGTCATGCTCATGTTCCTCCTCGTGCGTGAACACCGGACGTTTTGAGGGTCTGGTTTCCCCTTCTGGCCATTTGGGGTGCTAGTCCTTGGAGGCTGGGAAAGGACACGACCAGGATGATGAATGGGAATCACATACCAGCCTCTTGCTCCTGGGGGCTCTCCAATGCAAGGGAGCAGTTGCCCTGCAGGTTGTCTTTGGAAAATTCCTAGTGTCCAACCCTCCCTTTGCTTCCTGCCAATGAAAAGTGTTTCCAACCTTGGCCTGTCTTAGAAAGTGAGACTTAAACCCCTTGTCAGAAGCAAGCCAGGAGCTCCAGGTCCAACACGAGGGTTTTTGTTGGGTCATTTGCAGCTTAGCAGAGCCTGGAGGGACAGAGGATAAAGGAACATGATGTTCAGAGGAGGCAGGATTCCAGCTGAGCCTTGGGAGGAAGGATCATTAGAAAAGCCTGTGGTTGTTTTCCAGTCCAGGGTGTTTACTGAACCTCAGATCAGAGTGGGGTGGGTGAGTGTGAGAGGCCACTAAAACACAAGGAGGCAACTGTCCTGCTAAGCACCAGCCTTCTCAGGAAGGCTGGACCACCTTGGGCTGTGTGGTAACCCACAGATCCATCTCATTCTAGTTTGCTTTTTTCTCCCCAGGCATTGTGTCTGTGCACCTGAAGAAGGACAGCCTTGGCAACCTGACCCTGCTGGCCAGCCCTAGCCTGCAGCCTGAGGGCTGTGGCCTCCTGGACAAAGCCACTGGGGACTCCTCAGTGACAATCTGGCACAAGTGCTCCTGGGCTGCCAGCACCAGCACCGAGCACACGCTCCACAGGTGGAGTCACTCACAGCTCACCAAGACCTTCAAGGACAGGTGAGGTTCTGCTTCTCCCTGCAAACCTCCTCCTGGGCCTCACCCCCTGCCTTGGGCAGGGTCTGACCTGGCTGGTTTGGGTGGCACCACTCCTGGTTTAAGGCAAAATGAGCCACAACAATGCCCAGCCAAAGCAGAGAAAAGCAAAGCCCAGCTTGGTGGCTTCGTGGTTCATCTCTCCCCCAGCCCGTGGATGGAGTGGGGCAGATCTGGCTATTGCTGAGATGCTGGTGCTCAAATAGGTGCCTCAAACTCTGCATGAAACCTGTTCCCTCAGCTCTCCAAAAGGAGCAGAGGTCCCATGAGAACAGACACCAAACCCACAGCACTGACACCCTGGTGACCAGCCAGGAGCAGCAGCCTGGGGGTATTTCCATCCTGTCCTCACCCCAGGGGGGAGCTGCCTCTGAAAGGCACCGTTGTGCTTTGCAAACACGACCTGAGGGCTTGCAGAAGCTTTCTGAAGGCATCTTACACCTCCAAGTGGTTCAGGAAAGCCCTAGGTCAGCTCTGGCTGAAGGGTGCAGTGCTGCTGCCACCCAACCCCAGGGTGATGGGACTTATGGGTTTTGGATGAGTGAGATCAAGGGAACGACCCTCCAAGGGGAACAAATCTCATCATTCCCTCCCCTTTGGAAGCCAGCCCCTCTAAATTGGGAATCATTCCTATTGTTGGATAATTTCTGTCCATTAGGTAGATAAAGAGAGATTCCTGGTCACTGGTGCAATGAATGGGGCTTTTCAGAGGAGCTGAGCACACTTTGAAATTAAAGTGAAAGAAAATATTGGCACCCAGCAATTGCTGCCTTTCTGAAAATTACTTTTATGGTGTAACAAAGGATCTCCACGGGTTGGATGGGGTGATTAAGTGTCCTTTTTAGAGCCCCTGAAAAGTCACCTTACCAACTTGGAGGCCCTACAAAAAAGGGAGGGAATATTCTTTTCTTGGAGCTTTTAAACCAAACGTGTTCTTTTGTGTGTTTTGTCCAGCTGCCCGGGGAAGATGCTCTTGAGGACAGACCTTCAGTACCACACAGATTCACTTTTGGAAGATGCAAAAGGAAAGCAGCCAGAAAGAAACAGCTACAACCCCTGGGGACTGCACTGTCACAGACAGCACCTGAACCGCATGTCCTCCAAGCACAACGAGAACAAACTGCATCGTATCCTTTTCCCTCCCTCTCCTCCAGCACAGCCTTGGCTCCAAAGAACAGCTCATCATCAAGGAATGTTTTATTGGAGGGGGTGGGGTATGCACCCCTCCTCTGCCCAGTGCCTGGGAAAACAGTGAATGTAGTTGCTCTGTTATCTTCTCCCTCTGTTCAGTGGGACTAGACGGTCAGTGAATGTCCCTTTGAATGGGAATATTCCAGTCATAGAATCAATAAATCATGGGATGGTTTGGGTTAGAAGGGACCTTAAAGATCATCCAGATCCACCCCCCTGCACGGGCAGGGACACCTCCCACCAGCCCAGGCTGCTCCAAGCCCCATCCAACCTGCCCTTCAGCACTGCCAGGGATGGGGCAGCCACAGCTTCCCTGGGCAACCTGGGCCAGGGTCTCACCATCCTCACAGCAAAGAATTTCCTCCTCATCTCCAACCTCAGTCTCCCTCTTCCAGTTTTAATCCCTCACCCCTTGTCCTCTCCCTCCCTACCTTTGTCCCAAGTCCCTCCCCAGCTTTCCTGGAGCCCCTTCAGGCACTGGAAGGTGCTCTAAGGTCTCCCTGGAGCCTTCTCTTCTCCAGGCTGAACACCCCAACTCTCCCAGCCTGGCTCCAGAGCAGAGCTGCTCCTACTCTAGTCTAAAAAAAAATAAGAAAAATAATAGTTTAAAAAGGTATTCAGAGGAAGTGAAGGATCCCCTCGGCATAAACGTAAAACCACAACTATGTAGGATTAGCAGCTGCCTCCCCTTCTATTTTGCTATTACACTTCATTACCCACCAGTCACGCGAGTGACACAATTTAACAACTTCCCCCACGCCCACTGGGCTGAGCACAGCACCCAGGCAGGGTGTTGGATGGACAGCCTGGGGCTGTGGTGTCACTGGAGAATGGAGCTGCTGGTGCTTTAATTGGTAGGACTGTACTCTAGTAAATTAACTGCAATTGGCAGCAAGGGGCCTATAGCAATGACATGTTGGTAAAATGAGCTCAGAAAGTCTCATTACAGTTGTGAGCTATTATGGAGAGCGTCAGCAGTTGCTCTGATTTAAGACCTCTTTCCATTAGAAGTTCAAAGTATTGAGTTTCCCTTGACTCATGGTCAGAGTTTCTGTTGCTTGAAAATGTGGTATCCAAATACAACTATCCCTGCATCCTGGATTTAAAGATGGGAACCAGGCAGCATGGAGATGATGCCTCAGAGGAGAAGAAAGCCCGGCACATCAAGAAGTGTGCACAGAGCACCTCAGCTTCCCTGGGCGTTCGGATCTGTGGGATGCAGGTGAGATGGAGCTCTGGTCCTTGGGGTGTTTGTCCCATACACAGCTTGAAACCAGGCTGGAAATGCAGAGGAGCTTGGTCCTTTGGTGGTGTAAATGGAAGCTGTTTCATTCTGGCCTCCCAGCAAATCTGTCTTGTCCTCAAACTGGAGAGGATGAGTAGGGAAGAGTAGGGAATATGGCACATACAGGGTGAGCCTTTGCCCCAGCAAAGATGATCTGAGGGCTGGAGCAGCTCTGCTCTGGAGACAGGCTGAGAGACTTGGGGTGTTCAGCCTGGAGAAGAGAAGGCTCCAGGGAGAACTTAGAGCACTTTCCAGTGCCTGAAGGGGCTCCAGGAAAGCTGGGGAGGGGCTTGGGACAAGGGCTTGTAGTGAGAGGACAAAGGAATGGATTAAAACTGGAGGAGGAAGGTTGAGGTTGGACATGAGGAGGAAATTCTTGGCTGTGAGGGTGGTGAGAGCCTGGCCCAGGTTGCCCAGAAAATGAGCTCAGAAAGTCTCATTACAGTTGTGAGCTATTATGGAGAGCGTCAGCAGTTGCTCTGATTTAAGACCTCTTTCCATTAGAAGTTCAAAGTATTGAGTTTCCCTTGACTCATGGTCAGAGTTTCTGTTGCTTGAAAATGTGGTATCCAAATACAACTATCCCTGCATCCTGGATTTAAAGATGGGAACCAGGCAGCATGGAGATGATGCCTCAGAGGAGAAGAAAGCCCGGCACATCAAGAAGTGTGCACAGAGCACCTCAGCTTCCCTGGGCGTTCGGATCTGTGGGATGCAGGTGAGATGGAGCTCTGGTCCTTGGGGTGTTTGTCCCATACACAGCTTGAAACCAGGCTGGAAATGCAGAGGAGCTTGGTCCTTTGGTGGTGTAAATGGAAGCTGTTTCATTCTGGCCTCCCAGCAAATCTGTCTTGTCCTCAAACTGGAGAGGATGAGTAGGGAAGAGTAGGGAATATGGCACATACAGGGTGAGCCTTTGCCCCAGCAAAGATGATCTGAGGGCTGGAGCAGCTCTGCTCTGGAGACAGGCTGAGAGACTTGGGGTGTTCAGCCTGGAGAAGAGAAGGCTCCAGGGAGAACTTAGAGCACTTTCCAGTGCCTGAAGGGGCTCCAGGAAAGCTGGGGAGGGGCTTGGGACAAGGGCTTGTAGTGAGAGGACAAAGGAATGGATTAAAACTGGAGGAGGAAGGTTGAGGTTGGACATGAGGAGGAAATTCTTGGCTGTGAGGGTGGTGAGAGCCTGGCCCAGGTTGCCCAGAGAGGCTGTGGCTGCCCCATCCCTGGAAGAGTGATTATCACCCACACATCCCCTATTGCAAGAAGGTCCAGAGCTGGGAAATCCCTGCACTGCTACAAACTCCTACCACAGTCAGAGGGCAAACCCCGTAAATCCCTAGTGACACAGTGATGACTTCCAGCTATTTCGGTTCCACAAAGGGGTGATTTATGGCAGCACAACAAGAACCTGTACTAGTGGTTTAAATTGTTAGTTTAAGTCTCCAGAAAAGCCAGGAGGTGGGATGCACTGAGGAGCCTGCAGTGCATTGGTGGGCACTGCTCAGCTGCAGAGGATTTGTGTCCCATTCCTCAGCTCTGGTCTGAACTTCTTAGATGAGGGGAGAAACCAGAGCTTTGGGAAAACCAAACAATTGTCTCTGTCTTTCCTCAAGGTTTACCAAGCAGACACTGGCCACTTTCTCTGCAAGGACAAGTACTATGGCAGGAAACTCTCCCCAGAGGGGTTCAGACAAACCTTGCGCCAGTTCCTGTGCAACGGCAACCACCTCCGGACCGACCTGCTGGAGCCCATCATCCTGAGGCTGAAGGCCCTCCTGGCTGTCATCAGGAAGCAAAGCTCTTACAGGTTCTACTCCAGCTCACTTCTCATCATTTATGACGGTCAGGAGCAGAAGGAGGACCCGTCATCCTTGGATAATCACCTTCACTTCCAAAAAACAAACTGTACCCCGCCACACGGCACCTGCCCCCCCAGAGTCGACGTCCGCATGATAGACTTTGCCCACACCACTTTTAAAGGCTCCACATCCTACCACACCACCCATGATGGGCCAGACCAGGGCTATATTTTCGGCCTGGAGAATCTCATCAAAATCCTTCAGAATATCTCAGAAGGAAAATGAGAAATGCTGTGAAATAGCTTGAATTTCCTAGTGACTGACATAGCCATGAGAAGCACCACCTTGGGTGGGTTGTCCAGATCTCTCCTGGCTGCTGGACACCATGGGCTTGGTTTGGAAGAGGAGCACGGACAGCTTGCTAGGGAAGTGCAAAAAAAATATATGCTAGGTGCCATTACTGAGCTGAAGTGTAAAAAGCAGAGAGCTGAAAGAATCTCTTCTGCCTGCAATTAATCAGGAGATTTATTCTCCTTCCTTGTTTTCCCACTGTCCTTGATTTATTTGTGAGCCAAAGGGAAGAATTACTTGAAAGAGTCTTAATGATCAAGCAGGACCTGCTCACCCCCAGGTTTGCAGCACCACTTTCAGCTCCTGCTCAACCCCAAAAGACACAAAGACAAAAAAGCTGAACCCAAAGACATAAAAAGGGACAGAAAATGCCCACCCTGACGTTTCACCTGCAGGACTCTCGGGTGTTCTTTGGAGCCTGTGGGTGTTGGGACATGGATGTATAAATGCTGCAGAGGTTCTGCACTGCTGAAGGGGCAAAAGCAGAAGAAACCTCAGACCAAGAACTGGACCTTGCAAAGGTTTAATTAATGTCCCTACAGGCTTATAACAGGGCACATGTCAGAAATTTTCTAAGCGAGGTGCCTCCGGAGGGGCTGGAAGTGCAAGAATGTGATGATTCTCTCAGATAGCAGTCACAAAAACCAGTCACATTGAGGTATTTTTTGCTTAAAAAAAATAATAAAGAAGCTAAAAAAAAAAAAGAAAAAAGAAAAAAGGAAAGAAAGAAAAAAAGTGAGATTGAGTCAGGGACTAGATATTAAAGGTCACCTAGAAATTCTTTTATAGAAACATTGCGTGTGTGTTTGGAAGACACAATAGCAAAAGGCTCAGAAATAATGTTTACAGCTTTTGTGGACAGATTTTATGATTACAGCCACAATTCCTTCCTGCATGGTGTGGGAAACTTAGAAAGAGAAATCCTTACCCAAGGACTAGAGCTACAGATCCCCGTTACGGGGGAGTGGGGATATAAATAAAATGGTCTAAGTATCTCTCACCTGTTCTCCATCTCTTTTTCACTTCCCTAGCATCCTTAAGTTATGTCTTTTTGTCTAGGGCTGTATGTTTTGAAGAGAGCTGTTATTTCCACAGGTTTGAACACCAGATCTCCAGGGATGCCCCTTCACTTGTATTTTACTGCATGCAGCTGGTGAATGGCTACAATTTATAGCCAGAAAATTTAAGTCATCTGGCCCGGTCGCATGATTTTACTTGGCCTAAAATCCATCTGGGAAGACCTAATTATTTACTGGGTATAATTCACAGTGTTGCATATTTCTTGCCCACAAACTCAGATGGCTACTTAAAAAAAAAACCCACCACACAAGCCACCAACACACTGATGGAGCCATCAATGGTCTTGGCTCCCAGGCATGTGGTCCTGCAATCAGGGCTAATTGTGGCTGGTCCCAGCTCTGCTGACAGGATTTATCCAGACCCACCTCAGCTTCCTCAGCACTGCTGAGCGTCTTGCTAGAAGGTGTCAGGTCTGGGAATGGGTGACAAAAGGTCTGAGCAGGACACCAGCAGAGCAAAGCACCCTCCTCAGGCACAGGCCTCGCCTGCCATTGCTCCTGGAAGGAACAACCTGCTGCATAGACAACCTGCATACACACCAAAGCAGGTCATTATCAAGCTTTTAACCATGTGCCTTCCAAAGAGGAGTGCTGAGCCAGCAAACCTCACACACTCCACGTGGAGAAAGGGGAAAAGCAGTCAAGTTCTAAGATTTAAACCAGGCAGAAGCCAGGGGTTAAGGCAGCTGTTCCATCCCAGGCTGCTGGCCCAGGTACCTGCAGTGCTGCAGAGACAGGATCTCTCTGCCAGCTGCACAAAGCAGGGCACTTGGCAAAGGTCTGGGAAGGGAAGGGGCAAAGCCAGGCTGCTCATCAGCTGCCTTTCAAGCCCCCCAGGGTCCTCAAAGGGCTGGTGAAGAGCTGCTCTGCTCCCTGTGCTGTCCCAAGTCCCTCCCCCATGGTGCACAGAGCCCATCGACACACCCAGGGCAGGTATTTGTCTTCATTTCTAGTCTGCAGAGCAGGGTCTGGGAATCCAGCAGCTTCCAGGAAACAAAGAGGGTCTCCTGTACAAAACAGCACCACAGGAGAAGCTGTACAAACCTCACAATTGTGGTTCATTCACCTCCCTTACCTATCCAGGTGCATTTAAGCTCAGGTTTCCAATATGAAGGGGAGGGCCTCGCTGGGTGGTTCTCCCCAGTAATTTGGTTCTTATCATGGGGCACGGGGTGGTTGGAGCAGCCTCTCGGGACCCCCCTCAGACCCTCCTTGGCAGGGGGGTGAGCTGAGGGGTCCTGTGTGTTCTGGTGAGGAAGGTTTTGGATGCCTGGATGGATGTTGGGATGCCTGGGTGGGTGTTGGGATGGGTGTTGGGATGCCTGGCTGGATGTTGGGATGCCTGGCTGGGTGTTGGGATGGGTGTTGGGATGCCTGGGTGGGTGTTGGGATGCCTGGGTGGATGTTGGGATGCCTGGCTGGGTGTTGGGATGGGTGTTGGGATGCCTGGGTGGGTGTTGGGATGCCTGGCTGGATGTTGGGATGCCTGGATGGGTGTTGGGATG